GTAAAGAACTCCCTTTAACAATACTTTTAAGGAAGGCATGCTTAGCAGTGACAGACTCCCTCAGCTTTTTATCTGGGAGGGTCTTTATTACTCCTTCAACTTTTCTGTTATGTTTAAAATTTTCCTTGATAAAATGTTGGCATAAAACAAAAGCAAAGTTAAGAAAATTTCAAACAAAAACTAGGAAAATTCATTATTAGCAGATCCACACCAAAGGATGCTAAAAGATGTTAAACCTTAACATGAATGTTATTAGCTGGAATTATGTTTGTCTATACCTTGAGGAAACAACTGCAGTGAAATGGACAAACCATAAACGTACCATCAATGAATTCTGACAAATGCATTACTATCATCCTGGAAGTGCCCTTGCTTTTATATCTAAAGGATATTTTTGCTGGGTACAGAATTCTAGGATGACAGTTATTTTAATTTAGTATTAACAAAAGATATGATTTCCACTTTGGAAAGTTCTCAGCCATTATCTTTTGAAATACTGAGCCTTTACCACTAACCCTTTCCTTTCTTCCTGACCCTAACTACATGTATTCTATGCTACTTTGTTATTTCTACTGCTCATAACTTCTAATGTGTGCTTTCTTTGTTTTCCTACATGCTTCATTCTTAATATCTTCTTGTGACCTCTTTTCCAACTCACTGAATCACTCTTTGGATGCACCTATAGACATTTCACAAGACCCTTTCCCCTTTCCTACCTTAATCCAAACACTCAGAGCTCACCACCACTCTCTGCCATATGACAAAAAGGTCTGGTCTTATTACTCTCAATCTGGGTTTAAATCTGTCACCATGGATGTCCAGGATTCTCAGACTATGCTTATTCCATAAAATCGAATCCCCATTTCTTTGCCAGTGAGGCAACTTTCCCACTATTTTTATTTTATATATTTATTTGTCTCACTCCATAGGATAAAAGCTTCAGGAAAGAAATGAGTTTTGGATGTTCAGTTCACTATTGCATCCCTACTATGTGAACAGTGCTAGGTGTATAGATATAAGCACTCAATAAATATGTGTTAAACAAATGAACAGCATTCCAATTCTCTTTTATTTCTTTTAACATTTTCACTTATTTTTTATAAGAAATAAACAAAGTGAAACTTTATAAAAAACATTAGAAACTTTATTTTTAAAACAACAACAACAACAACAACAACAAGCTTTACAGGAGAGCATAACAACTAAATAAATAGTAGGAAAAAATACATTGTCAATTAGAGTTGGAAAGCAGAGGAGAGAATCAATTGATTGGTTGTTTTTACTGTCTTCCCCCAAACTGATAGGTCCACTACAGATTTTGGATTAAAAGACATTCTTCCACTGTCCAGTTCGATTCTTGACTTGTTGACACAGTGGTATAATGTTCCTACTACTGAAATTCATGCATTAGGGACAGAAATGAGTCAAGTAGCTCTCTAAATCTGAGTGAATCTGATGCTTGAGTTATTACTCTGTTCCAATGATCTTTTGTAGCAATAGTGACTTACTGGTACCCAAAGCCGAAATCTCTCTGAATCTCAAGTTATGTCATTGAAGTTTATAGAATTAGGTTTTAAAGCTTGTGAAATGCCTTGTTCCCCCTTACCAAATCATTTTTCTGTTCTTTAGCTTGAGGACAAAGATGGGGAGAGGTGGGGTAGGAAAGCTGTACTGAACCAAATGCTGGTGAATCAAAATCATCATTTATCTTTCTTCTATCTTTGTCCTTTCTGTAAGGAAATATTTTTGAGGTGACATAGAACAGTTGCAGCATATCTCTATGGATAGGATCTTCTAGTTTATACGTGTTGCTATGAGTGGTGAGAGCAAATTCCCATGCATAACAAACTCAAGAGGCCTTTCATCTGAATGCTTTCAGTCCTCAAGCTGATAGTATTCCCCCATGTACTTTCCCCCAGCAATCTCTAAGTAGACTTAACTATAGGATCAACCAGATTTCAACCCACACTGTGGGTACCATTTTCATTTGAGTTCTATGGCAAATTTTATTTTTTTAAAGTTTTTTTCTTAAATGGTTTATTGTCAAGTTGATTTCCATATATTACACCCAGTGCTCATTCCAACAAGTGCCCTCCTGCATGCCCATCACCCCTCTTCTCTCTGCCCCAACCCCGCCAGTCCTCAGTTTATTCTCAGCATTCAAGAGTCTCTCATGGTTTGTCTATGGCAAGTTTTAAAGGGCCCTAATATGTCTCTTTCTACTTAGACTACTAAAATGTTGCAGAATCACATTTAAATATCTATTTAGCACTAAAACTCACTACACCATCTCCACCCACCCTCTGCAGTTAATTTCTTAATCAAATACTTAAAATTTACAAGTATATACTCATTATAAGGTGTCACAAATTACAGATATGTAAGTATTAAGCTTTTCTATTTTCCCTCTGTATGCCCCTATCCCTCAAAGAAACCAATACTATCACTCTGGTTATCACACATACTCACCCTTATGTCCTCATTCAAATATCAATAAATACATAAGCTCCTTGCCTCCACCAATATTTTTCAGGAAAACAGGATCAAATCCTACATCACTCTAGATATCTGTCATGGTAATTATGAATAACTTCAGTTTGAATAACTTAAGTTTGAAGTTAGAATTAAAATTAAAATTACTCTGTAATTTGTCCTTATTTATAGTGAATTCCATGGGGGCCTAACAGATTTTTTTAAACAGAGTAGGTGCTCATAGCTATTTGTTAGATTGAAGCAAAAAGTAAAAGCACAGACATAGTTTAATGTTATAAAGTCTTTCAAGATATTGGATGACTTTTTGAAATAAAGCAAAATAAAGTGAAAGAGCCAAGAGTAGACTATGAGGCTATGGTGTCTTCAAAAATTACAACTTCTAGGAATGTGGGCTTTCACAATTATGTAAAATATATAATTATCCCATGAGACTATTTCAACAAAAATCAAAATTAAGTACTAAGCAATACTAGAGTCCATTAATAAAACTGGGCCTAAATTTCTGTGAACCTGTTTCTTTAAATATGCAGTGGCTTTGCCAACAATTAATTTGAAATATTATTTCCCATAAAGCTGTTTGGAAAATCTAAAACAACTATATAGAGAAGAAAAAGCTTGTAATGGTGAAAAGTAAAAGTCTTGATTCTTCTGTTAAAGGTTATGCATTTTAATATGATCTTTTGGCTGATTTATGTAAAGCTTTGTATTTTTCATTTTCTCAAGGCTGCCACTGTAGTGATGTATGGTACATTTTAGCATCAAGTTTGCCATAAGCAATAAAGTCTGGGCCCCAAAGAAATTTTAATATATTTCCCCATTTTTTAACCTGGAGCTTTCCATTATTCAGTTATTTTGTTTAGGATCCCCTGTTTAGTTGATGTAAGTTTTATACTCACATAAATAACTTTACAATTTTAACTTAAAGATAAAATCTAAATAGATTAATTATTTGATAGAGAAGTTTAAGGGTCACCATATGTAAAGTGAAAATCTTAGTGATAACTTAAATTTTACAGTAACAACCTGGCTAAAGGTTATATTTTACATTTTAGTTTGTTTGGAGCATTTTTTTCACTGTAACAACAAGATAAAAGAAACATAAACAAGAAAGTGACTTTCATTAAATGGTATGCAACATGAAAAGGAAACACATGCCTATAAAATTCTGTAAGAAGAAAAAATGAAGAAAATATCAATTCTAAGTTCAAAAATCTTATTCCAGAACTAGTAGTTGTTACAGAGAGTATAAAGATAAAAAGGGAATAGTCCTCAAGAAACTTATGACCTAGTAGAAATAATAAGTCCTTAAATATTATAAGATAAAATGATTAAGTTATTTGTCACAAGAAAGGAAGAAACAAAGTGTTAGAGCAGTTCATCAGGTGGGGCTATGAATATTTGAGCTCAAGCTCAATCTGCCATGAATATCATGGGTAGGCTACAAACAGTTAATGGAAGTGAAGAAGAAAGGAAGACAGATAAGATAGAAAAAGCAAAGGCAAGAGAGGAGACAAGCAGAAGGCACAGTAAGTGTATCCATCCAATGGTTCCACACTTCTGGAGTAAAGGAAACATGCAGAGGGGTCCTGAGAGCAAGACAGAGAAAGGGTGTTATGGTTAACATGTTAGACAGTCTTCAATTCATGGTTTAACATCTTTCTTATTTAGAAAAAAAAATGTAGCTGTATTACACATTTTTGTGCAGGGAAATAAAATCTAGGAAGAAAAATCAAGATGGGGATAATGAAAGCAAAGAGTCCACCTAAAGAAGCTGTATGTTGTCCAAGAGTTTGGGCAAGATGCAACTTTCACTAGAGAGACGGGCATGGAGATGGGATGGTGTAAAAGATATATTAGACTAGCATATAAGGAATTAGATAACCAACTGAATGTCATGGTAAAAGAGAGAGAGCTGTAAGAAATGATGCCAGGATTCTTTTCCTGAGTCACTAGGGGGGAAACAGCTGTGTTAAATAACAAAAATAAAGAGAAAGTACAGTTGGAGGGAAAAATGAGTTCAAGTTTTGTACACAATGAACTTGACAATGAAGTCCAGTAGTTTATTTTTGCTTTTGTTTCCCTTGCCTCAGGAGATATATCTAAATAGAAGTTGCTAGAGATGATGTCAAAGAGGTTACTGCCTGTGCTCTCTTGTCTAGGATTTTTATGGTTTCAGGCCTCATATTTAGGTCTTTAATCTATTTTTTTTAATATTTTTTATTTATTTCTAGGAGAGAGAGAGAGAGAGACAGTGTGAACAGGGGAGGGTCAGAGAGAGAGGGAGATACAGACTCCGAAACAGGCTCCAGGCTCTGAGCCGGCAGTCAGCACAGAGCCCGACGCGGGGCTCGAACCCACGAACTGCGAGATCATGACCTAAGCGAAAGTCGGACGCTTAACCGACTAAGCCACCCAGGCGCCCCATCTTTAATCTATTTTGAATTTATTTTTGTGTGTGGTGTAAGAAAGTGGTCCAGTTTAATTCCTTTGAAAGTTGCTATCCAATTTCCCCAACAGCATTTGTTGAAGAGAATTTTTCCTTTTGGAAATAAATATTATGTTTTTTAATGTTACAGAAAAACCAGTAAGAGTTAATGATATTCTTCCTGACTGTCCAATAATGTTGATAAAATGAATACAGTACCAAAAGAAAAATGGTAAATCATGTTGGTAACACCCAGTAGAAAAGACTTGATAGGCTAAATAAAGTGATTGCCTTTTCATTTGATTTTCAAATGCTCTTCATCATTATATAATTGGTGGAGATGAGAGCAGTGAAGAGAGAAAGGGGAAAATAAACCAGTGTGATGAAAGCAAAGAAAAGTTACAGAAATTAGAGTAAAAGATGAAATAAAAGGGGGAAAAGGGCAAATATCAGGCAGAGGTCATGGGTAGGACATGCTAACAAAAGTCAGAGAAAGTAAATCTTGAAGAAGTTGCCAATAATAATGAACAAGGTTTTCCCATTTCCCCAATTAATCAATGTTTCTATCAGAATAAAAAAAAACATAAAAACAGAGCTGGATATAGTAACCGAGAAGATACTATGTAATTTTCTTCATATAGAAATGGCAGATTAGTAAGCAATGTCCAAAAATGCTTTTTAAGAATTATGTATATAATTAGATGTCCTGTAGCTGTCAGGTACTGGGGACACCTAAAAAAAAAGAAGAAGGAAATTCACCATGTTTATTCAGTGTCAGTGAATATTCCACCTTAAAGAAATCACATTCTTTTTTTTCAGGAGGACAAATGGACTGTGAAAACGAATGAAATACTAAAATAACAAGTGAGTAATGAGCTATGTAGGTATAGCTGAACACATAATGGCTGATGTGTGTAAACAAGAATTCAGTGGTTTTTATTTTCTGTGCATGCACATGGCAGCAATGGTATCAGAGATCTAGAAGGCAGGAGGTTCCCTTCATTGGATATGAAGGAGATCTGCATAGTACAACTTCATTTTCTTGAGGATTATCAGCTTTTTGGGAAAAGGTCACCAATAATCATCTTCTACCTTCATTCAGTGACTTGCTTTCAATCCCTGTCAATCCTAATTTTTCTGGACACTAATAATTATTTTCTAACTTTGGAAACCCATTCTAAGATTTCTGGAGTTAGCATTGTTTCCCCTCCTTTGCCAGTCCTCATTAAGCTCTTTTGATTCTTCAGATTCCCTATCATATATATAACTTCGATGTGCCTCAAGACTTGGTGACAGAACAATGAAAGATGCAGAAAACCTTTTCTGATCCTTTACATCTCAAGGAGCAGACGTTTTAATCCAAGGGACTAATCCAGATCTTTACCTATTCCATAATACATCTTTAAATTGACAGTCTACTGTATCTTGACCATCAAGGTATTTAAAATAAAACTCTTTATCACACTTCTGTCTCACTTTCCAACTTTCATTTGTACTTCCGTTCTTGAGGATATTTTTGGAAAATCTTTTGTTTCTTCCTTTCTTCCACTCTTTAAAAAATTTTTTTAATAGTTTACTGTCAAATATGGAAAATTTTTTTCAAACGTTTTATTTGTTTTTGAGAAAGAGACAGAGAGAGACCCAGGGCGTGAGTGGGGGAAGGGCAGAGAGAGAGGGAGACACAGAATCCAAAGTAAGCTCCAGGGTCTTAGCTGTCAGCACAGAGCCTGACACAGCGCTCGAACTCACAAATCATGAGATCATGATCTGAGCAGAAGTCAGATGCTTAACTGACCAAGCCACCCAAGCGCTATATTTCCCTCCACTCTTAAATTTCATATAATGAAGGTCCAATTCATCCTGAAACCTTTTCTCTCAGGCTTATTTACAATAAACTAATTCTTATTTTACTAGAAGATTTAATGTTTGATTATATAATGTCCTGTCTTCTCACTACTTAATGTATATACGATTCCATTTTCAATTGAATTGCAAGCTCTTCAGAAATGTAATTTTTTTTTGCATCATGTAGAGTTCTCAAAACTAGAAGCATTTGCAAACTTCTTCACTGAGGATCACAAAAAAAAAAAATCACTAATGACAAATGCTTTTTTTTTTTTTTTTTACCTTTATAGCTGTTGTTACAGAACTATGTATAGAGCCAACGGATGTATCTCAACTTTCTCTTGAAATCACTGTAAGTCTGAATCTTAGATTTACTTGCCTTGTCCTCCAAGTGCAATTCCAAAAAGCGTAGATAAGCAACAGGTGCAAATGCATCAGCTGAATGTATGACCACTTCTGATGCATCCCTAAAACACAAAAATTTTATAATGCATTTAGTCACCACATAAATTGTGGCAAACTGTTCTCTGCTCATGTCTAACAGAGAGCAAAAATCCCCCTTTTGTATTTATTTCCACTGGCGAACAATATGTAGTGATTAACATCTATTTTTACTAATCCAATTTTTAATTGGGAAAAGGATCGAGGAAACTAAATTTCCAAGAAAAAGTAATGAAGCTTTTTGTCTTTATTATAGCGACACATACTTCAACTTTCAGGTTCACTCAAAGGAAGCTCTCTGAACACTTTTGAGACTTAAAATTCCTATTCAATTTCATTTTCACAAATTTGCTTCATAGGGGCTAACCATTAAACAATAGTGCTTTATCTTCATTATTCCTTTCATTTTCAAGAGGTAATTCATTCAGTGTTTCACACAAAATCTCAATTATCCTTCACAAAAGCAGTGCTGGTGATGGTTTTAAGCTCTAGGTGAACTCTTCACACTGCAATATCATTGCTATTAAAATTGATTGTCTGACATAGTAATTACCACATTCAGGTAGAATGGTATGAACTCCTTGCTGGCACCATATGGATACATGTAAATTAACTCAACTTTTATCAAAGATACCCTGTAAAGCACATATGAATAACTAAGATGTGTGAAGTTCTAATAACTAATTATTTTTTATTGTTGTTTATTAAGAAAGCCATAGTGTTTTGCATTTCAACCGAAATTTTAAAAACAGAAATTCCCCATATCTCTTTAATGCCTTGGGAACTAGTTCCACTGTTTATATTACTACATTGTTAGCATTTTAACCTTTGTAGGATAGCAAAATAAATTGTTACTTTATTTGACTTTGCCACTAATGTAAGCTATTTTTGAGTCAACTTTTGTAATGTAAAGTTATTTAATGGTAATAAAAATAACCTCAAAATACTTGGCTCCAAAATATTAAATTTTCATGGACAAAATCTGTTTACTTTTCCCTTTGAAGGATCAGAGATAGAAAAAAAAAGTCTGATGATTAAAAAAGTCAACTACCATTCATGAACTTTTAATATCAAATATGCCTCTTGTTAGTGCTTAGGAAAAAATAACATTAAAAAAGACTTCTGTGACATTACAAGGAAAGCAACTTATATTGTAAAAGAAACAGAATTATTAAAGAGTCAGGATCTTGACAGCAAGATATAACCTGCCTTCACAGGCTACATCAACCAAAGGATGTCTCGGGTATAATGAGGAGGAGGAGCAAGAGAAAGTAAAGAGGCCCTCACAGTTTCTCCCACATGCCCCTCTCACCTGTTACCCTAGTCTTATTTTTCCTACTTACTCCAGAATTGCTTGTTCTGATTCTATCTTGGCTCTGCAATCAGAATCAGATTCCAATCCCTATGTACAATCTCCTTCTCACATGAAATTTCAATCTCCCTGCTTCTGGTCTCAGCCTTGGATACTGACCCTGAGCCTTAATTATGCCTCATCTAGGCAGCTTGGTCTTGACAATGGAGTGCACCAAAACTATAATGAACCCAGATCCAATGCTATGGCACTAGAAAGGGTGTCAGCAACTCCCTTCTCATGCCAGTTATCTCCACCAGAAACAAAAGGTTGATAGCAATTAGCCCATTTAATAAATACAATTACTGCATTCTGAATAAAGATAGTTATCCAGAGAAAACATAGAATATTCTAAGTGCTAAAGAAAGAAGAATATGGGGCGCCTGGGTGGCTTAGTCGGTTAAGCGTCCGACTTTCGCTTAGGTCATGATCTCGCGGTTCGTGGGTTCGAGCCCCGCGTCGGGCTCTGTGCTGACTGCCAGCTCAGAGCCTGGAGCCTCTTTCGGTCTGTGACTCCCTCTCTCTCTGACCCTCCCCTGCTCACGCTGTCTCTCTCTCTTAGAAATAAATAAAACATAAAAAAAATTTAAAAAAAAAAAAGAAGAATATAAGTATCCACTCTGAGCATAAATAAAGCATATATTATTATATATTAGTGATGTAATCTAGAATCTAGGAATGGAGTCTATTATTATAACTTTATTCTGGAACAAATTACCATATGGCATGTATAGATACATGTGTTGANGCTTAGGTCATGATCTCGCGGTTCGTGGGTTCGAGCCCCGCGTCGGGCTCTGTGCTGACTGCCAGCTCAGAGCCTGGAGCCTGTTTCAGTCTGTGACTCCCTCTCTCTCTGACCCTCCCCTGCTCACGCTGTCTCTCTCTCTCTGCTAGAAATAAATAAAGTATTTAAAAAAAAAAAAAGAAAGAAGAATACGATTTTCATGGATCCTATTAAACCCATAATCTCTAATTGACTAACATCACTTCGTTTACTTATACAAAGCCAGCCAGCTGGAAGAGACTAGATCTCAAATTAACACTTTTTAGTTTCAAACAGAATAATGCTACTATTGCTCTTCTTAACCTTTTTGGAATATACTCAGAGTTATCCAGAAAATTAAGACCAACTGCGTCACAGCAAAAATGTTTTCCAGTTGGCTACTCTTCCGTCCTTTCCCTATTAATACAAATAGTCAGTCTGGTCATTACCTCTTATACAACTGAGGTTTCTTTAAAGTCAAGGGCACAAGCCCATGTTCCCTTTCACTGCTGCATTAGGCTTACCCCTAGTTACAACTTCAAAAGGACAGGTGAGTCAGGCCAGGCTCTCACTGTGTGAGGTCAGGTCCTCTCCCCTCACTTCAAAACAAAAACACCTCTAACATTATCTCTTGAGACACAGCCATGGTCTTTCTTCCTACCCTTCTTCTAAAAAGACAACTGTAAACAGATATTCTCTGTGGACTCCCATTTTCCCCTCAAAGACATCTCCAGTGTCATTTCTGCCAAGCCTTCCTAGTTTTCTCCTTTATGTTCACTGATTTTTCATTGCACATCTGCTACATTATAATTACGTGTTTGTATGCTTGCCTTCCTTCTTAGAGAAAGATCAGGTTTTGATTACCTTTGTCTTGACTTTCCCCCACCACACCTCTCTTGGCTCAGAACAGAGTACCGTGTCTGGTATTTATCAGACATTTGTTGAATATTTGACTGCATAATCAAACTTTGTTAAGTATCTACACACCCTATTGAACTCTCACAAACCCATAATAATTTTTCAATTACCTATCTTCACATGAATACACACTTTTTCATATGTGCATACTTTATGTATATATGTGTGTATACACCAATAATAGAATATAGGATCTCTAGCATAATAAAGATAATACTTAATAGGTCTAAGAATTTAAATACAAAGAAAATAGTCCATAACTTTAAATAAATTCTCAGATGATACAGGATAGACATCAGAAGGTAGATAAGGACTTGATTCATCCTTACTGCTAAATGTCACATTATGATCTCTTTGCTGAATTATGCCTTGAGTGGGTAGAAAATAAGGAGTAGGTGGGGGAAATGAGTACAAAGTATTTTAACCATAGAATTTAGTTCTTCCTTCCTTTCCTCCTTCCCTTCCTTTTTTCCTTCCTTCATATTCTCCCTTCTATCCATCCACCCATCCATCCATCCATCCATCCTGTGTGTAGAAATTTTACATTAGTGGTATAGCAATACTAATAATTCAAATGGAAAGATGGAATTGTATCAAATACTGACCTTTTAAAAATATGTTCATTGATAGAAGAAAATCACTTCTATTAACGCAACACTACAAGTTCAGTTTTTACGTCTGCTACACACACATATATGTATTCTAAAGTAAGAAGCAATAAGAAAGTAGGCTCTTTATTTCAGAATCTACAATTGTCCTGCAATTATCCTCCTTTCTTAAAGCCTAGGCTGTAATTCTTTTCCTCAAGGCCTCTCTGGAAAAACAAACAAGCAAAAAAAAAACCCAAAACCAAAGCAAACCAAAACCCACTTTTATTTTCTGAACTAAAAATCTATATCTAGAAGTGAATAATCACATTCTAATTGACATCAAGAGTGAATTGTAAACTGTTCTAATTAGAATGCTTTTTTAAAATTTTTAATGTTTTTCCATTTATTTCTGAGACAGAGAGACAACGTGAGCAGGGGAGGGTCAGAGACAGAGACACAGAATCCAAAGCAGGCTCCAGGCTCTGAGCTGTCAACACAGTGCCTGTCGCGGGGCTCAAACCCACGAACCGTGAGATCACGACCTGAGCCGAAGTCAGATGCTTAACTGACTGAGCCACCCAGGTGCCCCTAGAAAGTTTTAAAATTGCTTCCAGACAAAGACTGCTATATGTCTTTCCTACAAGATTTCTAAAACGTTAATTGAGGCAAAATGTGTATTATAATAAACTTTCAGAACTACCCCTAATTTTTCTAAATTATTTCATTATACAAATAGGATTCGATCTGTGTTTTTGTAAAAGGCAAAAGATTTATACGATCTGAAGAGAAACCAGAGTATCGATCGATCTGTGTTTTTGAAAAAGAAACATAATAATAATCAAATGATTTTGTAAGGAAAAGTTTAATTTTTCTCTCCTTTTTGGTCTTCTACTTCTCATCAAAAAAAAAAAAAAAAAGATTTAGGCATTTGAAATGAGACTCCTAATAATCAATTAGTTTTACGCCAACTGTGGCAGACCACTATTAAATCAAATAGAACAGGAGAATTTGTTAAATCTGTCCAAGGAATGAATTCAACCTTCAAGATCCAGTACTATTAATGGTCAATTGTTAACAAACAGTTATAAGAACTAAACTTATCTTTTAATTGTATCATCTCTCAATCAAATATCTTTCATTTACAGTTTTTTTAAAACTTTTTTTATTGAAAACATTTTTTAAACTATTTTTTTTAATGTTTTATTTATTTCTAGGAGAGAGAGAGAGACAGCGTGAGCAGGGGAGGGTCAGAGAGAGAGGGAGTCACAGACTGAAGCAGGCTCCAGGCTCTGAGCTGGCAGTCAGCACAGAGCCCGACGCGGGGCTCGAACCCACGAACCGCGAGATCATGACCTAAGCGAAAGTCGGCTGCTTAACCAACTAAGCCACCCAGGTGCCCCTTAAACTATTTTTGAGAGAGAAAGAGACAGAGCGTGTGTGGGAAAGGGGCAGAGAGAGAGGAGGGTACAGAGAATTCAAAGCAGGCTCCAGACTCTGAGCTGCCAGTACAGAGCCCGACAGAAGGCTCAAACCCATAATTTGTGAGATCAGGACCTGAGCCAAAGTTGAACACTTAACCGACTCAGCGACCCAGGTGCCCGTACATACAGTTTTAGCATGTGCCATGCATCTTCACTCACATATCATATTGAGTGCTTATTAGGTATGTATGATAAGGACATTTTCTATTTTAGAGAGAAAGAAAAAGTTTATATATAATAGGTGACATTCTTTTTCCACAACATAGGATACATCCCAACCTATAACTTCCAGTTATAATCTAAACGGGAACACATAAAAGTAAGTGAAAATAGGATAAGTAACAAACAAATAATAAATGACAAATTAATTCAACAAACATTTATTGGTAACAACTCTGTGTTCTCAGAGCTCAGGTACGAGAACAGGCACTAGAGGAGATGGCAGCAAAAGCCTTTCAAAATGGAAGGATTTAAACAGCATAGGAAATACAGTCAGTGGTACTGTGATAGTACTCTTTGGTGACAGATGGCAGCTACACTCGTGGTGAGCAGAGCATACTGTATAGACTTGTTGAATCGCTATGTTGTATACCTGAAACTGATGTAACACTGTGTGTCAACTATACTTCAATTTAAAAAAAGAAAAAAGAAGGAAGGATTTAGCCAAGGGGGAAAAATGGGAAGGCAACCTAGAGAAAAGACACCAAGTAAGAAAGTTATGAAGAGAAGGTGAGGCTTGGCCTGTGAAGAGAAAAGCACAGCATATGTTTAAGCACTGGAATTAGATTAGTGATTAACTGATAAATGAGTAGAAGTGAAAAGACAGTGCTTCCTCTGTGTTCTCAGGATACACACCTGTTATGTGAGCATTTTGTATGGTTGATTCACTCACCTCTCCTGTTACAGGAAGAACTCCTACAGGGCTGGGCAGTAGCTTGCAGAGCTCCACCCACATCATTCATCTCAATAAACGATCATTCATTCAATTGAACTGAATAGCTCATTTCGGCACCAGAGGGTTCTCTTTTTTTAAAATTAGGGAATTCTATACCTCCCCTGACATCCCTCTCTATGATAGCATGACTAATTTCCCTCATGCTATTGTCTTGGTCAGGCTCAAGTTTTGTGCCTACAAATGATGTCTACAAAAGATTCAGTGTTCAGGGCTAAAGCACTATAATAAACAGACCTTCTGGTTATGTAGTGTAAAGCAGTGCATCTCTTAGAATTCTAAGTTGTTCTAAGACTTCTAAGACTTCAAGATGTCAAATAAATGGGAAAAATTTGCTGCTGTGGCATTTTTCTCTTACTGTGCTTTGTTTTGTTTTTACTAATTTAGTTAGTCCCATATTAATAAAGAAATATATTGCAAGTTTCCCATGATATTTTAATTTCACCCTAGCATGTAAATACTCTTCTTGAATAACCAAATAGTATTATTTTATAGAGTAAGACCTAATGTACACTTCATTTGGGAATCATGATCAGAGTACCCAGAAGAAATATCTCCCATCTATGAACTTGTAAATTTTATCCTTTACCGTCTTGTATCTTAATTGTATACAGTTTATCTTCCATTCAATCTTTGAAGGCAGGAGCTATCTATTATGTTAATGTTTATTTATTTCTTTTGGGGGAGAGAGAGAGAGAGAGAGAGAGAGTGAGCGAGCAAGTCTGAGCAGGGGAGGGGCAGAGAGAGGAGAGAGAATCCCAAGCAGGCTCCATGCCCAGTGTGGAACCTGACATCAGACTTGATCCCGGGGCAGTGAGATCATGACCTGAGCTAAAGTCAAGAGTTAGACACTTAACCTGCTGAGACATCCAGGTGCCCCGCAATCTTTGCACAACAGTGATGCCCAGTAGGTTGCTTTAGACATAATAGGTACTTGATAAATATTTTCCAAATAAATTATTGTTGATGGTTATTAAAGGAAAATAAGTTAGAAGAACAGGAAAGAAGTAAGAGTGGATGATTATTACATACATGATAATGAAAGTGTCCAGGCCATGTTTCACTAGATAGATGTATTTGTTTAGACAATTCACTTAGAGTTGTCTTAATTTTCCTAGCTCAATACTCCGCTCATCACTAATATGTACCAAAAAACCCACCCCTTAGTGGTGAACATGTTGAAGCTGTTCATCAATATGAGAATCTAATCGTTCATCAGATGAGGCTTCTGAAATCAAGCATAATTATGCCAACCTTTTCCAAGAATGAGAGCTTAGGAAAAGCAGATAAAATGTTCTTTAGCATAAGAGAAGAGCGATATAATTTAGAGTCTGGAAAACGATGTAACAAACTGAAAAAAAAAAAGAAAGTTCTTGTTTTCACGCAACTAATTTTAACAATCTATGGCAAAGAAATCACAGTGCTCGCCGTAAACCGAATTCATTTAAAACCAAAGTTTATATGTAAAAATAACCCCAGATAATAAAAGAGAAATGTTTAGCATTATGATTCCAAGTTGCTAAAGCCAAGAAGAAGGAAAAAGAGGATGGAGTTAATGGAACCCACAGGCTACTGATGTGGCAGTTTATCAAATGTAGCTGTAATGAAAGATAAATAATACAGGCAATTCACACTTCATGGAAGGATAAAAGTGTCAGTGTGTAGGTACCAGTTTTACTGCAGGGCATAATCAGCAAGTAAACCAAAGTGCAATGTCTAAAAAGTTTATAGCCTTCGATGAAGGCCTCGTCTTGTCAGGTATTGATTTAGGTATTCAGACGACTTCACTGGTATTAAACAAATTGAGTGTTTGTGAACTTGGAGGACATGTTCTATTTCTCCCAACAAAAGTTGCCTCGAGCTTAATGTTATGTTGCTTCCATCACTTAAATTTAAGGGAAGAAAATGCTGAAATGATATCTTACACAATTATTTTCTTCTTAAATAGAGGGCAATCCAAAGTGAACGTTTCATACTCTCCACCTTCTCCACAAACATGGACTCCATACTTCTTAGAAAGCTAAAAAAAGGAAAACAACAACAAAACAGGAAGCTTAAAATTAGACAGCAAAAATGGTCTTTTAACTAATATCATTTTCCCCTAAAAAGATCCATGCCAGAAACTTTAATTCCAAAATACATCACAAGCTACAGGAAAATAACTTTATACTTCCACTTAGAACATGTGTTTAAAGCCATTTGAAAAATGTTATCATAAAGCATAGGAATTTTAGTAATCCACAAATCCTTACAAAAAGAGATAAAGGACCAACATTTTATGTATAATGAGAAAATTTAGAGATTACTATAATGTCAGGAATGACACTAGCTTTAGATTCAAAGGAGGTTAAGGAGGAAAGGTACTAAGTCGTTAGGGAGTAATTGAGAATAATACAGCCAAACTGCTTCCCTCCTACCCTCTGACCTACGTGTGAATGGGGAAAAAACAGGTCATGTTTAGGCTATATCTCAGAGACACAGAGAAAGCAATCTAAAGCCTTTCCTTTGGCCTGTGAACAGAAAGGAGTCACAGGCATGGTTATTATGCTTGAGGTTATTATTAGCGAAGTTCCAAGGGTACCAAGATCTAGTGATGTTCCAAAGCTGTAGACGAGCCTCAGGCAGGTCTAACTCCAAGAAACGTTGGGATGGCTTATCATGTTGTCTAATTAAGTCTGAAACTGAAAATCAAACAAGCAAGTAAGGACATAAACAACCTGTGATTTGCATTAAATATAAGCTGCATTATTTAAATAATCCTGATACTAACAGTAAATTAATCTCCCATTGGGCTGGTGTATGGCTGGAGTTGGTGCTGGGAAACTCTCACTGGCTGTGTCAGAGAATCTTCCTACTCCTGTGTAGATGCTTTATGGCTATGATTCCATCTCCCTTGTTTTGAATTTCAGGGCTTTCCCTGGTTATAGCTTCTCCTAGCCCAGAATCCTCACTGCCCAAAGGAAGAGTGACTCCATTGATGTTCACTATTACTGCCAGTGCTGGGACTATGGCCTAAGTCTTCAGTTTTAGCTGAATAGTTACATATTTTTTTCTTTGCTTATTTTGTAGTTGTGCTATAATTCTGAATCCATTACACTTCAAGTCTTGACTATGTGCCCTTAGGGATTTAAAGCATGAATTTGTGAGAATTCTACTGTCCTCTCCAAGGATTAGCAGTAATGTGGAAGACACTGTAAAGCCAAACAGTAAGGAAAGTGAGGGAAAGAAAACTGGGTGGCATTTGCTATATGAGTTTACAAGAGCAAAGCTGGAATTTTCACCATGCTGAATCATGAGGTAGAGTATCAGCAAGGCAGAATTATGGCCATTGGTCCTTTTGGGAGCAGATAACAGGAACAGCTTACTTTACCATATTAAATCAAATTATATTAATACCTTCTTTGCAATAAAAATGTAGAAACAGTAAGGGATATGGGTTTCAGCAACGTCTCCTCGTTCTACCAGCTAGGGCCTGTTCTGTTTTTTTGCTAATCTCCCTTTCAATGGTCTTCTCATTCCAGCACCTTTCCACCAAGTGAACCTTCTAATCTCACTTTCATGGTCAGCGTTTTTATGTGGGAGTATATATTATCAATTATTAAGTTCCTTTAATTGGAAAATGCTTTATTTAAGGTTTACATACTTTCTATACCACCAAAGAACAGCTGGAGTTTTAAATTAAAGTTGGCATTGCTGTTATCCTGCTGAAGTAGTTCTATTAGTCTCTAGCAATAATAATGTAAGCTGCTATGTGAAACCAACGAACTATCATTACAGAAAGACTGCTAGCACAGGAAATCTAAAATTTGGATGTATCCAGTGACGTTTTCATTTCACACACAATATTTCCATAATATTCATGTAATCCCTTCTTCAACTAGTATATTGAAAAATGATTATTAAGCAGGTCATGCTAGGTAAGGAAGATCCAAAAGTAAAGAAGACAATATCCCTGGTCTCTTGAAGCTTATCAAGAGACCTATACCTTATATTTCAACACCGCAAGATAATGAAACAGTGATGATGCTTTTATGAATAAATATACACAGTCTCTTCCCCCTTTCTATTACTGATTCATCAGCATGAACACAGATTCTAAGTCAAGAAGTCTGAATAAAGAGCTCAGTGGTCTTTACAGCTGATGAGCCAAGAAGTAGTCTTGAATATGAATGCTTACTATGTCTTTTGCAGCCATTCTAAACTCCACTAGCTTCAAGCTCTAATAGACATGAGTCCTCAGAGAAAAATCCAACATTACTGGCTTACTGTTAGCCAGCTCCCAGGCCCTTTGATGTTCTGAGAGAATGTCTTTCTTAAGAAGGGAAGCCTATGCTAGTCAGCCACTCTCTGTAATGAATCTTCTGCTAAGACATCACATTCTATTAAAAATCGATATCCTTGCAGCACCAAAGCATGATGTATGCCCGTTACAGGTCAGTTTAGGGAAGTGGAGCCAGATGTGTCCATTCCAGAGACTTGTTTGTGGTACACAATATTCACTTTACTCTTCTAAAACCTGTTAAGTCTGTGTTACTAATTCTGTTCACTGTTCACAGAAAGTTGCAACCTAATGAAGTTGCAACACGTCTCTAACATGTCTGGTTTCAACTCAAAATTGCCCTAGCACTTAATCATTCCAAATACAGTCTGGCAATTCTCTTTCATAAGTTTCTCTATCAATCTTACAGTCACTGGAAATGCTAAATAGGTAACAAATTTTTTAAAGTGTAGTTTCTCACTAAATTATCATGATTCTTTCTGTACTTTAAGCACATAAAGTAGCAATCTATATTGAAAAATAAAAAAATAAATATTTTTCATATTTCTTCACTAAGGCCTGATATTCATTAAGGATTAAATGATATTTAACAGTTTCAGTTAGTATGTAAAATGTGGAAAAGAGAGTTATTTTCACCATAACAGCAAAAATATACCAGACAGGTCACAAAATCATGGTTTTTTGTTTTATATACAGATAGCTAAGGAATCAAAGAAGTCTAGATGAACTAAATTCCAGATTGGGGTGAGCCTTTCCTAGGTGAGTGAAGATGCGTGGCCGCTTTCCTAATGGGCCAACAGCATACTTCCACAGAGAGACTTTGATCAGCGTGCATAGAAAACAGTCAAAGACATGGCCATCTGTGGACTTCTGCAATGGCCCAGGGAGCCAGTATAGCCTGTCAAGTCTTTCCCAAAGGCTTTAACCAACTGCACAGACAGGCTACATGCAGAAGGCTGAGGCCAGGGCAGAAGAGGAGACAGAGATCCCTTTGGGAACAACTGCTCATCGAGTCTTTTCTATTGAGTTCTCACTGTGCCAGAGGTTGGGGATGAGCAGGGAAACTAAGATTTTTTCCAAGGTTCAGAAGGCCAGGAAGAAGGCAAGGAGAGGCTCAGAGCAATAAGCCTGTGAAAAGGCACAAAACACTGGTTCCAGGACAGTAAAGCAGGGGGAGAGGACAGAATGGAGGAGGATAGGAAGGAGGGAGAACAGAAGGGGCAGGGGAGTGGAGGGAAGAGGAGGGAGGGAGAGAGACAGAAAGAGAGAGGGAGACAGAAATCTAGGCTCACTGGGAGCATAGACCACAAGCCCTGATAAATGAAGAGCCCTGATCCTACTCTTGAAGCACGTGAAAGAAGTAGTAAACTGAAGCAAAATGCAGCTCAGAACAGATCCAACTCAACTGGAGATTAAACAGAATAAACATCCCAGATTAGATGTTAGACAGAGGAGAGGGGTGTGGTTTGGGGGGGATATTATTTGCTTTAGTCTCTACTCCTCGTTTTTATTCGGTATCTGCGATAAAATATGTAAAAAAAAATTGAGATGTCGAAAAATGAAAACTGACTTATAATCAGTACAAAAACAAAGAGAAAAAAACAAAACCAGACCCAATATTAACCACATACTGGACTCAGTAGGCAAGGACTATAACAGAACTACTGTAAATATGTTAAAGAATCTAGTGGAGAAGATAGACAAAACTCATGACCAGAGAATAGTTTCACCAGAGATGGAAACCAGGGAGAGACAGATCTAGGTTCATATACTGGCTCCAACACTTATTAGGTAGAGAACCTAGGATGAATTGCTTACCTTCTTTGAATTTCCATTTTCCTAGGTAATACGTTATAAGTGTGTTATGACTGTTAAAACAGATAAATGATGCACACAAAAGCTCTTAAGTGCATTGGAAGCACTCAATATACCTTACTTTTTCTCTATTAGGTTAATTTGCTCTTCCCTTGGGCCTTTTGCTCTTTTATCTATACACTCTCTTCTTTGGGGATCATGACCACTACTATATCTATTACTTCTATGCAAATGGCACTAAACCAAAACCCTAGCCACTGATCTCTCTCCCATATATCAGTCTCATCTCAAATTTCTTTTTTTTTTTTAATGTTTATTTATTTTTCAAATGGGGAGACAGAAAGAGAGAGAGAGAGTGAGCGGGAGGGGAAGGGGTGGGCAGAGTGAGAGGGAGACAGAGGATCTGAGGTGGGCTAAGTGCGGACAGCAGAGAGCCCAATGTGGGGCTCAAACTCAAGAACCGTGAGATCATGACCTCAGCCAACTTTGAATGCTTAACTGACTGAGCCACCCAAGCTACCCTTAAAATTCTCATTGAGTGATTTACTTGGGTGTCTTGTTTTAAATTTAACATGACTAAAGCAATGGTCTTGATTTTTTCTCAAAACCTTCTTTTCTTGCTCAATTCTCTATCTGTGTAATGGTTCAATCACACTGAAAACTTGAAATATTGAAGAACTTAATTCCTTTCTTTCCTTTTGCCAGAAAGCCTATATTTTAAAATTTTACATTCATTCATTTACTTAATCAGTGAAGATTCATTTAGTACTTACAAAGTGCCAGATCCTATTCTATATGCTAGGGGAATGGCCATGAATAAGACAAAGTGAACACGGTCTTCCAGTCTAACAACCTTCATGATTCCTTGTCACTTGAACTATTATAGTCATCTCTTGTCTTCTAGCTTAGTTTCCACACCTCCCAAT